AATATGCACAGTCGAGCCTTTTCCCTCCAAGAGTCAAACAATTTTGAAAGCTATAAGCTGGGACATCTTCTGGCTTCTTCTTGTGTTAGCCAAGATGAACCTGTAGTCTCCTCTTTTTATTACTCTTGCAGGGGAGGACCCTTCCCCTAATTCTCCACTGAACATGTATTTTCCAGTTACTGTGAGTTTCATTCATTTAATAAAGTTTTATTGACTACTTCTTTTGGCCCGGAGCTTGGAATGCAGTTATAAAAGATTTTTGTTGAGTACCAATTGAGGACACTAGCTAATTTAGCTTCTGTCACTGCCGCTTGTCTCATGGCAATCTGGGCCACACAGATGGCAGACCTCTGTTTTTAGTGTTACATTCTGGCTGTGGTGAGTCATCATGAAATTCATTCATTTTAGCAGCTTCCCTGTGAATCACACTAGAATTGGTTTACTATTCTGCCTTTGGATAATTCAGAGCTACATTTTGGAAATCGTCATGGAGGTATGTTTTATTTCAGCAATCAGAAAACTTGTAGGAAAGGGAAAGAATATAGAAGGGAAATTGGAGCGAAGAAATATCATCAAGGACTATTCTGATTACGCATCACAGGTCTACGGACCTCTGTCTCGTCTTGGTCGTTTCCCAGACAACAACTCAGAGGACTTTGTAGTGAAAAACCACTATCTCAACACCTATGAAGGTAAGCAATCTACATAATTAGAAGTCCAGTATGAGAGGAGTTATCTTAGAAATGGAAATTAAATATATAAATTAGGAATTTTAGACTAAAAGCTAAACAAAAATATTTGCAATAAACAGCAGTGAACAGGTTTAATATTATTATTAGTAAGAGTTCATATGAAGCAACAAAAATTACTAAGACCCAAATAAATAAATGAACACACTATAGACCAATTTAGGGAGTAAATTCAGTTAGCTAGTACATATTAAAAAATATTTAATGTCACTACTAATCAAAGTTATAAAAAATGAAATAGCAAAAACTTTTATACCAGGTTTATGAAGCCAACAAGAAATGCATAATGAAATCAGCCCTTTACTAAAAAGAAATGTCAATAAACTAGTGGGCAAGGGAATGGAGAACCAGCGGACAAGTTGGTGGAGAGGGCTATACCTTTTATGAAGTTCAAAAGAGCCTTATTTAAATTATTTAATTGCAGTTGACAAGTTGAAGCATCACGTGGCCAAGATCATGCGTTGATGGTTACGCTATTGAACTGGTAGCTCTGACTATCCATCGGAGCGGAATATAATAATACATTGGTGACATCTACTTTAGAATAGCGGCACCATGTATCGTAGAATCATTAGTTTTCTGTTGATTTTTATTTTGGAATTACTACTTTTTCGTAAGGCAATATTTTCATTTTAGAATGCATTTCTCATTTTATAGTCTAAGTCACTGAGAACATGAGTTAATTACACAGAAATGTGCTATACATTTCAAGGATAGTTCACTCTATCATATGAGACACTCCCCATCAACAACTCTAATGAAACCACTGGGCAAACAGCTACTAAAATTAACCATATACTTTAAACATGATAAACATAAGCACTGGATACTAAAAGCATATACTTCCTTCTCATAGGATTAGTCGAACTCGAGTCAAGTCTCCCAGATTTTGTGACACAACCCCGAATCAGACCTCCAAAATTAAAAGTCATTACCACCAAATCTGGTTTTCTGAAGAGAACAGCAAGGTTTGACTGTGAGTTGGCAGAGGTTCATCAGGTATAATTGTTATCTGGAAGACAAGATGCTTCTACTGTGATTTTTACAGAGAAATACTACACTCTAAAAATTACACTTTATCTTGGGTAGTAGCATCCAGTGGGTCTAACATACAGCCTTACATTCTTTCTCCTCTCTAGACTTTTCTCTCCTAGAGGTTGTCCATGCTGTGCTGAATCAATGTGGTTTTTCCCTCATTTCAAATTGTAGGAAAATCTCTTGGAGGTTATTTTCCCCATTAGTAGAAGTCATATACTTTCTAAAAGTGTTTCCAACTTTGGATCAATATAATAAAATTTGACACTATTTTAGGTGTAGCAAGTTTCTAGTATTAGGAATTACCGTTGGTGTTAATAGTTGTATTAATAATAGGTCTCATTTTCTACCTTTTATATTTGTTATCAGGCATCATAAAGATAAGAGAGTCATGTTCAAATTCTTTCTCATCTAGTTTAAAATTCAACTAGAGGAGAGAGTTTGCTGGCCATCCCATGAACCAGCCACACAGCATCTGCCTGCTGGGCTTTTTTTTTGGCTAATTGAGCTATAGGTGAACAGACTTGGGTGCTTAGAATCTGTGGTTTATGTATGATAGCAGTGCTCAATCTTTCCCATGCATCAGAATCACATGGAGAGCTTGTTAAAACACATGTGGCTGGGCCCCACCCGCAAAGTTTCTGATTCAGTAGGTCTGGGTGGGGCTGGAGTATTTGCATTTTTTGCAAGTTTCCAGGTGATGCTGATGCTGCTGGTCCAGGAACCACACTTTGAGACCCACTGGTGTATGACATACTCTCACTGCTGGCCCATGTATGTTTGTTTGTTCAGTTGATTTT